GCATATATAAGGAACTGATATCTTTCAGCAAATTTGGTGCAGCTTGATTGAATGTAATGGGACTGCTGAGCCTTGGCGGAGGTGTGCACTAATTAGAATTTTATATTGTAAAGCAAGCCTACCTGCCCATAGATTTTACCCGCCATTTCTTTTCCCGCCTGAAGCGTTTGGAAATTGGTATTCCAGATGCAGAGAAAGTCTGAAAAATCAAAGACAGGGACAGGAAACTCAGACACTCACATTAGACACTGAAGTCACTTAGTCCTAAGGTCATCCAAAAAGGATTGCAGTAGAATATTACAGTAATATTTAGACTGAAGTTTTAGTTTTTATATTAATCTGCGTCAGGGTAAATAAACTGAAGTTACCTTTACCAGCTCCAGCAGAGGGATGTGGAACACCAACAACAGCTACATGGGCTTCATCCAGGATAAGGGCCGACGCTGCCTCCAGCGGGCCCTCACCGACAGGAAGAGCCAGCAGCAGGCTACGGGGAAGTGAAAGAGCCTGAGTCCCCTCTTCAGTCTGCAGGCCTCGCACAGAGACCACACTCTGGTACACATGACCGTTAGGGTCTGTGGGGCAGGAAAGGAAAACAATTAGGCACTAAAAGGGAAAATGAGGGGAGAGGGTAGATGGAGCCAATAACATCCCTCTCACTTGTTTCGCATTTCACATCTTGTGCAGTACAACATATAATGGAAAAAGAATCAACAACATTGGATCCTAGGAGTTGAGTCTGTTATTTAACTGAAAGATTAGCATTGGCTGCACAATCAAGAGGAAAGACAGCATGGGGCTCTAATTCCGGATAAAATGATTTAATTATAGGCTACAAGTTGTTTATCATAAACATCCAACCCCCTTAATTAGGGCATAAAGGTCACAGCCACGTTTCCCTACTTAGTTCCGCTGAACTGCAGTGAGGAAGATAGATAGACAGAGGAGCCTAATGGGCATGAGTTCAGCGCGTGTCTGAAAGCAGCTATACTGAACCAGGGTCATTCGCGTCTCTCTACAGATATGCTAAATAATTAGGGTGCCTCGTTTGTGGCAGATCTCCATTAGTAGTACCAGGGTGCTGAATTCAAACAGTTTAGAAAACATACCTACTGAGTACACCATCACTGTACAGATCAGGTTTTGAGGTGGACTCTTCCACATGTGTCCGTGTTCATCGCACACCTCTTGCATACAAAGCATTAAAATGACTACCATGGGCTATCACTGTATGTTTGTTCCTTTCTATTAGAAATTCATGTCACCCACTGTTACGAGCCTGTTTTCATTTCAAAGTCCATTAAAACTTGCCTGTGCTGCCAAACACTGACACAAAAAATGTTTTCACAGGAAATGCTGGCTTACAGAGATAAAGCAGGCGGATGTGTTTATCCCTGTAGGAGGCAGAGAAACTGAGCGGGGCAACACCAGGCTCTTCTCTCTCCAGCCGGTACCTCTGTAGGGTGTTAGGGTTCAGTCTCTGCAGGTAGAGGAAATGATCTCCTTTCTGTGGGAAGACGGTGAGGCAAACCAACATTTAGAAACACCAGTAATTAAGAGTTTCCCCTGGTGCATGTGAAGAAATTAAGGATAGACAAATTACATTTTGCTAAGTGGGTAATTGAAGTCTGTGTCATTCACATGCAGAAACATTAGCATAACACTGAATTCATTATTGCATGGCTTGGTATTGTGATACAAGTCCAATGAATACATAAACCTGTCAAAAATCTGACATTTTGAATTCTGTTACCTGTTCAGTTGTGAAGATGACAAACTGCTGTGTCTCTGCCACAATGTTGGTGCTCCACCTAAAGAGCAAAAAGACGATGCGTTAACAGGCTGACAGAAACAAAAGGTCCACGACAGTAATCAGACAAGGGGTTTACTGTGGTTGCAAGGCATCATGATACTGACCTGATGGCCTCTTCTTGAGACAGGACTTCTTCTATGGGCTGCTGTGGAGCAGAAAGCAGCGAGTCTAGCAGTCTCACAGCTCCTCTCTGAAATAACACCACAGGCTCCGCTCCATCTACACAATGAACCCTCCAGACATCTGATGACACCTGGAGAGAATATTTGCACAGGAGGCCAGAATGATAATATGCCATCAGTTAAGGAAGGTATCTATTATGAATAATTCCCAGAATAAGGGGCTTTCGAGAGAAAAAGCCAATAATTGTACAATAAACCATGTTGGCAGTGGAGAGAAAGCGAGAATATCTATATTCATGGATCTGTACCCTGATTAATACTTATCCATATTCAGACTTACTGTTGCTTTGAAGGCCTTATCTAAGAGAATGTCTTCTTCCTTCCAAATTCTGATCACCTAATGACAACAAAAAAGGGCATCAGGTGACAGATATTTGAGAAAGTTCTGATCTACAATGAGAGTAATAAAGTAAATACATTTTTTTTCATGTTTAAGGACCTCATATTGTTAATGTAATATATACAATAATCAAAACTTGAAAAGTACAAACATCGTGTAATGAATCAGTAACAACATGGACAAGGAAACAGATAATGCAAACCTGATAAAAACAGAACTCGATGGAAGAATTAAATAAAGCAAAATCAAATAGTAACCTCACTGTCAATTTTATTGAAAACACAGGCAATAACAAGTTTTTCTTGCAGCCTGGACAAGATAAGCGACCCACTGTTAGTAGAACGACAGGCTCTATCTCACAGGCGTTCACGATCTTCTTTAATTGTTTGGAAAAATGAAAAATAACTGGCCTGGTTGGTAAGTCAGTGAGCCTGCATACAATTACTCATAATAGAGGATTGTGTGAAAAGGTCTACCTTGTTGTCTGTGATGGCCACATATTCCTTGGTCTGTGAATTGAAGACTGCTGAGCAGGTCAGAGTTTGACCTTGTTTTACTGTCCAGCTGCCGAGTGGCTTCTGGTCTGAAACCTGTCAGAACCACAGAGAGGGAGGGAGAATTAATAACATCCATTTCTTAGGGGAGGGACATAAAACAATATAAATAGTTAAGGCAATATAACATTCATCAATAGAAATATAACAAAGCTCCAATATACATCTATATATTTTGCTTATGCCTTGTGCAGGCACGGTGTAGAGGTGCATAATGAGTCCACTTCAGATTTGCTAAATAGTTTTCTGTTCATCAAGTGTTTGTCATTCTCTGCTCACAAAGAAAAGAAAGCACAACCTTCACTCAGAAGTAAAACTCAGTAGAACGTGTACCTCGCCATGGCTCAACAGTCCCCTTAAATTCAATCAAGCTGCATCAAATTGCACATCCTCCTCATAGATAGCATTCCCCTAAATATGCCTGTCTTTTTTCATCACGGTCTGTTTCAGGGAAATTCTCCCGGCACTTTTTGTCTAATCCTGACAACTAACAACTGCAAACAAACTAAAAGTGGCAGATGTAACAATAACGTAGCATTTGAGAGAATCATCGATATGCGGAGGAGGGGGAGGCAGTAGCTCAGTAGGGGGAGGAAGTAGCTCAGTAGGGGGAGGCAGTAGCTCAGTCCATAGAGACTTGGCTTGGGAACCGGAGGGTGGCTGGTTCAAGTCCAGCATGGACGGAAGTTGGAGAGGTGCCAGTTCACCTCCTAGGCACTGCCAAGGTGCCCTTGAGCAAGGCACCGAACCCCCAATTGCTCCCCGGGTGCCTTCATGGCTGCCAACTGTTCTGTGTGGATTGTGTTCCTCTGGATGGGTTAAATACAGAGGTCAGATTTCCCCATGTTTGCATGTTGTATGCTGAGGAATAAAGAGGAATCTGAATCTTAATATGAACTGATGTGGATTATCTTGATATAACTGTTGCACATAGTCGCCCAGCCATACTATCCCAACAATGTGATTCCAGTTAACTTCTCATTTTTCTGCTTTGTGCCAAACACACACAACTCCTCCCATTTTATAACCAGGATGAACTTTTAGCTGCTTTTTATCCCAAACACACAAACAACAACATGAGCAATTTCGAACATAGTTGCTATGTTTATTATCTCGTGCAGACTATTCTCTGCAGCCACCAGACATTTAAATATGAAATATAAACGAGTTATTGGCGGAAGTCAGTGATTATAGAAGTTACAGAAGTCAATAAGCATTCCATGCGTGCCCTGTGGTGGATATAGCTAAAGTTAGCTAACCTGCCACGTCCGTTTGTGTAAACTAGCATTTAGCTTCAACCTGTGCCACCATTCCTGTGTATTTTCAAGGGACACAGAGAACGATCACAGCTGGGATGTTAATGTCCTGACTCCTGTGTTGTCCGTGGTTTCTGTTACTGCTGGCGAAGAGGCGACGCTGCCAGCACGAGTGTCTCGGTTCTCAGTGATCAGCTGGCTCCGGTGAGCAGCAGCCTCGTGAAAACAGAGATTCAAACTCACTTTGTACAGGGTGACACATCTGGTGGCGTCCGTGACGACGACGTGGTCGCTGTCTCGCTCCTGTTCGACGCCCTGAACCGCTGAGTTCGACAGAGTTTGAGCCGGAACGAGTCCGCACAACGTGTATCCCTCATACAGCGCCGCCATGCTGGACGAGAAGAGAGCGGAGTCTCGCGGGATATCGCGAGAGTGGACGAGCGGCAACCCGGAAGCACGAGAGCGCTGCTGCTCACCCACCACGCTGCTGCTCCCGCCACATTGTTATTAGAAGTACCAGACACAGTTTGACGAGCTGCTAGAGCTTCTCCTGCTTCTCCATTTAAAATGTATGATGTCCACACAGAGGAACATTTGTAAACATGAAACTCCATGTTAATCCTGGCTGCATTATTCAAGATCACTAACATAATCTACATTTTGTGATGTATTTTCACCAAACTCGAGACATGTCATTGGAAACATTGGAATCTACACAAACATTGATAATAACGTGTGTAAAATGTTTTTGTGCACATTGATAAAATTCTAAATCAAAGTACAAGTGCACACCTCTGCCCAACAGTCCTCTTCACATTAAAATTCACTGGATCTGGATTTTTTATTTGGATCTTCACCAATTTACAGTTCTGAAATACGCTCTTCTACAAACTCTCAACTTTTGCACGCAACAATATAAATTAACTATGTTCACACAGCCCATAAATGTCTTCAGTTCGGATTCTTTTAGCAGTAGTCAACTGAATATGGTTCTGCATCTCCTTCATGGACAAACAGACAACTGCTACAACTGCTGAACAGTAGGCTACAGTATTGTAAAGAGTCAGCAGGTTTGTGACACAGAATTGATCTGGACAATGGTTGTATGTTCATAAATTACACAAAAAAGTGTGTTGAAGATTGAAATTTATGAAGGCCATTGTGTTACATTCTTGTTGAGATTGTCTCATGCTTCCTTGTGCAGGACTGAATCAATTGACCTCCTTTTGCTGAGGTTAAGCACAGAGGACATGCACTTCTGTTTGTTAGTTAGGTTGATGAAGCAAAGTCTTATTTGATCAAGGACAAGATAAATAAATAAGTGTATTAGACCACAGTAATCCATTTAAATTCTTCATAAATACCTCATGGATCTCATGATACTTCACATTTACGTAGCAGAATAAGAAAGTTTATTAATCGGAGTCAGGAATAAATCATGTCTGAAATTGTTAAATTTGTGGAAACTGTGTTACAAAGCTTAAAACAAAAAGACATATATACTGTATATGTGATATATGACATCTATTTCACAGTGGTTTGATAATAATCAGAGAAGGGATCTCCTGCTGTCTCAGCACTGTTCGATTTCTGATGGAAGGGAACCAGAATGAAGGGTATAATCAATAGCGCTGGGCTCTAGAAAAAGACAAACACACAGGGAGAGAGAGAGAGGTTACAATAGGCAAAAAAATCAACACCAAGTCACAGAAAAACAAACTTGGCACGTCTTATTTATCATCAAAGGGACAATTTTAGAGAATAATGCCCTGAGAAAACACATATCTGACATTGTGAGGTTGCAGGAAGGTTGTATAATGGTAAATATACACACTACCAGCCAAGTTTTACTTCTTTTCCTCTTAATTTGTTGATCATTGTATTGCTAGATAAACCCCTGAGCAACCATTCAAGCTCTTTTTCTTTGTTAATTACCTTTTTCTTGCCACTATAGCAATACTTTCTTGAGTGCGATATTCATCAGTAACACAGTTTGTTCCAAGACTGCCTTTTTAGATAAAGTGTTTGTAATTGATGAACAAAAATTGGGGTATTTATAAGAACTGTTTGTATTTACTTTCAAGGCTTCATTTACTTCACTTCCTGCAGAAAAGCAACAAGTTCAATCATTATTGATCCCTGCAAAAGTTCCATTTTGTATGGAACTACTTTACTTTTCAGTTTTTGTTGAATATAGCTTTTTTTAACCACCTTTGTGTCATTTAAGTTTATTAAATGGACTTGAATTTAATCATTTGATTGGTTTTGTACACACAAAACAGAATTAAATAGAAAAAACAGCTCTTTACCTTCAAAGCACTCAGGTATTATGAGTTTTCCATCCGTGCACTGTGTTGGAACTGGATAACCACAACCCCTGGCCTTGTTCATGCAGTAGAGTGAGACGATTTCTTTATGGAAGACTCTGTTAGGATTCAGGTCCTTGATCCAGAGTTTTTGTCCTTTGTATAATATCCTTCCTCTCTGTATGCCAATGCTGCAAGGAGCTACAAGTCACCAGGAGGAAAAAAAAGATTGTGAAATTGTGTTATACTTTTTTGTAACATAGGAAGACAAATCAATATGTTAAATTCTGGTCCCCATGAATTATAGCATGGAGAACTGGAAGGGTTTTTAAACTGTTAAACCTTTATCCAACAGTTAATTCAGTGTTATGTTGTTTATTAGTTTTACAGCATATCAAAAATAATACTTTTATAGATAGAATCCTCAAAATACTAATTTAGACCTCATTTACAGTCAGCACAGGCACAAATTGATAAGTGAGGTATTGGGTTTGAAATAACTTTGGGAGTAAAAGTAATGAAACTGGATTGGGACCTGATTTGTAATAACAATACACGAACTGTACACAATGGGAAACAACTCCTATCCCATCATGTATCGTCCATAAAGCTAAAAGTGTGCTAGACTTATACTTCTGTAAACTAGAAGCAGGTCTCGGGGTAAAATGTTTGAAATATTAGTCCCACCTTTGCAGGATGGCTTTTCTGACCACTGCCCATTTTCCTGACAAACTATCTGCAGGCTTCCTTCCAGTGCATAGTCCCCGAGGCAGCCATATTTGACTGTTTCCATGAAGTCGAAGTCTCTCTGGTCGTTGGTCGACATGTAGCCTTTGTCAATGTTCTCTGGTGGAGGGCACATCACCACTGAAAGGAACATCAGAGACACTGTTGATGACTGTCTTTATTGTAGAATAAATATCTCATCAAGCTGTACTGGAACATTTCAGCTGAAAATGGTCAAGTCCAAATGTGGTGCAATTTCATCTAATTTATTTTAATGTGTCTTCCATTTCAGCTCCCTAGAGGAAAGTTTTCTTTCTTATAATAGAGAGAGAAATCCACCAATTTTGTTTTCACAGCCTTGTTACAGACTGTTCTGCTTTTTTCTTTCGATGCATTACGGAGACATTTCAAGGGCTCTTACACTCTCATACAGTATTTTCCAAACAAGTGATGATTATTAAACTCATCAATCAAAACCTCATTATTACATACTGCACTGTAAGTACATTTAAATAACATAAGCATTCCCAAATGTTTTCTTTGGTGTATCGGGACAGCTTATAGCATGATTTAAAAAGTGTCTTTATTTGATGATTTGTTGGTCTTTAATTATAGCAAATACATAATTTAATTTAAATGTTTGTACTGGAATATCAGAAAATTCTTTGTATTACTTTTGAAAATGGTGTATCTACACCAATGCTCAGTAACAAATAATATATAGACAGTATATCTCAATTCAATTGTTTTATAAAAGAGGAAAATTCCTGTTCTATGATCATTATCTCTGCGGTCTCTTAGTTTTGTGTTAAAAAATACGAAATGTACCTTACATGTATATTTACAATTAGAATTCCATGAAATCTGGACAAATTACACAAGTGGACCTCTTTGTTTTGGATCATTTCCTCATCTGCTGACACAAATGTGTGTTAGATGGTTAAATACGTCTCACAGTATAGCACTATAACTACTCCTAGTATTTCATACCTCTGCATTCAGGTGTCTTAGTCCAGGTGCCACTGGGGGTGCACTCTGCTCTCGCATTGCCAATGAGCACATACGGAGGCAGGCACCTGTATGTCCCTGTGACGCCGTAATCAGTGGTGTTCCCTCTTATCGTCTTGCTATAAATGATCATCCCAAACTCTGGGATCGGAGCTAGATCACAGGTCACAGCTAGGAGGGAGGAGGGTGAGCCATTTTATAAATATGCTTACACAGTTTCAGATGTTTCTTTTGTCTGTGGTTTATAATAGTGTATAGTTACGTATTGTTGTGAATAACTTAATTCACAACAAACTAAGTGGTAGTTTTGTTGTGTTCCACTACAAATATGTTATTTGACCAGATTAATAATTTTCCTGGTCGTGCAGAGGGATTGCATACGCTTGCACTCTGGTACTGGTGAGCTCCATGTTCCATCTGCTTGGCACACAGCAGTGCTGGCTCCAGTCAATAAATATCTGTGCAGAGCAGAAGCCATTTCATTAAGTCAGTTTATGCTCAGTTAGCAAAAATATTTACAAAGTACATGATGATTGATTTGTTGAACCCGAATGATTGTAGATGAGATTAATGTGAGATGCATACAAAATGAAACGATTATATGACTTTGGTTTATTGATCATGTTATGTACACTTAATGTGTGAGGAATATGAGACAATTAAGTCATTGTTTTCAGCAGATAGCTCTGTTAATGCTAATTTGCCTTCAAACTGCACTTCAGACACAAACAGAAGCCTCTGCTGCAAAAATGTATCTCTGGATCTCATCCAGTTTTATTAGCATTTCATCCTCAATTTGCAAAAAGTGTTGCACAGAAGTTGTTTCTTTACCCTTCATGACACGTGTAGTTGATGGTACTCTGGTACACTGTATCCTCATAGTACACTTCTCCATTAGACAACAAGTCGGGATAAGGACACAGTTTTGCTGCAGGAGACAAAACAGTAGAGAGCAGTTATTTTTCTATGAATGATGCAAACATAGATTTACTCACTGTATATGTTGTACCTGCTGTAGTAATGTACAACCTTAATGAAAGGATCGGTTTGACCTGCTAGTTGTCAGTAGAGAACTTGTAAATATTCTTATACCAAAGCATCAGTGAAGTCAAGTTTTTTGTAAAGGTAACATTATGTAATAAACTACATATTTAATATATAAATATTCAAGACAAATAGTGACGAGAATTTAGAAGAATTGGCTCGTGTTGCCTTATTCTGCTTTGTTGTCCCTTTTTTGGTTTATTTGTGTATTTGTACGTTGAGAGCAATGGAAAAACTGGTCAAATTCTTTGTATGTGTATGCATACATGGCCAATAAAGCTGATTCTGATCGGATGCTGATCTGCTAATGTTCACTGTCACATCTACAGGTGAAATACAACAAATACAGAATCAAACTGTCTTTATTTCTCATAAAACAACAACAACAAAAATCTATCAGTGATACCGATATAAAAGACTTGATATTTGATGTTAGAATGACATGTTGACATTAAACGTATATGTATTATATGCTGATGTTCTGTCAAAAGACCTTGAGTTCTCACTAGAGTAATGGGGACCCACGTCTGCAAATTAGTCTGGTTTGTGTCCATTCTCCCCTCGCAGAGCAAACAATCTTCCGAGGACCAAACATAGGGGTGTATCCCTGTCTGCAGGACAACACCAACTCTGCCCCTGGGTTGTAGAGCCTCTGGAACCCATCCATGTCAACGCTGGCAGGCAGATCAGGCCTAACACACACTGAAGGGACACATTGATTTAATGGATATTATGGTTAGAGTGTCACTCTGAAACAAACATTTAAATTATTATCCCCAATATGATCTGTGGTTATTTACTTGCTCTGAAATAATATGAGTGTGTGTCCTGAAATACTTCCAACAGAGAAACTTGTCAAAAGAAAACAAGAGACAGATAATCACTAACAGAAAGTGTGAATGAATTTAAATAAATTGAAATCAAAATCTATTTCTGGCTTAACCACGCAAATTCAAACATAAAATGAAATGAGACAATCACCTTGTATTCCTGTACTCCAGAGCTAAACATCATTATTTCTACAAAATGTTGAATCTTTACCAACGATGTTAAACAAAATTGCATTCATGCAGTTCAAGCCAAATAAAAGCAAATAAAAAACAATTACCTTCAGATGTCACAGTGGTAAATATCACAAAGGGACAGAGCAGAAACAAAGTCTGCATGAATTCCATCCTCGTTCACGTGTTCAGACGCTCCTCAGCTCATGTGGGTCAAACACTAAACCTCTGTCCCCGCTCTCTGCTGTCGTCTCTCTAAAGCTGAACAAATAAGAGCAGCATGAAGTGAATTCTGGTTTTGTTTACTGTTTTTTTTTTTACTCGCTATCTTGCTATTTGCAATAGGAGTTTGGAAACCATGTGACATTTTACTGGCAGTGAAGCTCCTGCAGTGGACTTTCCCTCATTGCAGCAATATTATGAAACATGGACAAATAGTTGTTTTTGCAGACTTTGTGTATTAAGCCTCAGACTTTCAGAAAGTTCATCTTAATGTGACAGAAATACTTTAAAACAAAAGAATACAACGGCATTTAGATCCAGTTAACGATATCTTAGTACAAATACAGAGAGTAATAGTTTTTTTAGCTTTCTCCCACAGAAACATTTGTCCATGGCTTTGTCACCAGCAGAATTGATTATTTGAATGCCCCTTGGTCTCTTGATAAAAGCCATTCAACGCCAACTCAGCTCATTAAAATAAGAGTCATCAGCCTTCATCTCAGAATTGAATTACATTTTCACACCTGATCTATAAAACAGATTATTCTTTTTTTCCCCTCCAAATGACAAAAGTTTATTCAAAACTTGTCAACAGAGAATACGTGCAACTACAATATTCAGATTTAAGAACACACTAAACATATTTTTGTATTATTTAACTTTTTGATCTGTAAAAAACTTTGAACCAATGTCAGATTTTTAAAACCCTGTTAAGGCCCACCAGTCCCTTTGTGAAACCATATTTAAATTCACCAGATCGGTCTTTCTATTTTTCATCTACACCAAATTACACTCATAAATACCTTTTTTTTCTCATCAAGATCCATTAGAAGAATATGTTGAAAAATGCTCCATCAAATAATGTAAAAGAAAATAAAAACATTATTCCTGGATCTGCGCCCTGATTCAGATCCACACCAAAATGTCATTCCCCACCGCTCCAAAAAGGTTCATGCAAATCGGTTGAGTACTTTTTGCGTAATCTGGCAAACCGACAGAAAAACAAATGAGCTCTGTGGTGGACGTGATCAGTTGGAGATCAAATCCAGCAAAACTCAGCATTACTCAAAAGGTTTCTTTTAATGTTAATGTTTTTATTGTAACCCAGGGGTTGTACTATGTATGTTCATTATTAATGTATATAGTGTTTATGAATCTGCAGCCTGGAAATAACAAAGTTTCTCTGTAGTAGTCATCATTAGTTACCACACCACAAAATAGATTTTCATGATTTATTCACAATTAAAAATCTTTTATTAAGATCAAAATAAAAGATCATGATGCAGCATATTGTTACAGATTCATTAACTGAGATCCAGTAAATGATATCCCGTCAGTGGGTTTCAGCTCAGATGTTATGCAGGTCTTGCAGGGCCCGCGGGGCTTGCGGTGCTTGCAGGGGGTGAAGCAGCACAACTTGTGATTTCAGATGCAAGAGTACTGGCCCTTAACGTGTACTCCACCTTGCCTGGTTCTAGAAGCAAGAAGTAGAGAGGCAGAGGTATTACTTTATTGTATGAGTTCAAATATTTTATATCACCATCACAAAAACACATTGTATTGTTATGAGTGAAAATTTCTTGTCTACTGGTTGTTCTCCACAGTATATTCAGCACATTATAGATATAGATGTGGAATTCAATGTATATGTTTTGCATCTGTATAATGGTGCCTCAGTTGAAAGCATGTCCTTCATCCTGGGAAAGTTCTCCACTCATCTGTTTTGATTTATTGAGCTGGCGAGAACTCACCCTCAAAGCATTCTGGGATGGGCAGGGTTCCATCATCACAGGTGCTGACCACAGGGTAGCCGCACCTCTCAGCTCTGTTCCGACAAAAGAAGGCGACGTGTTCTCCGTGGAGGACTCTGTTGGGTTTCAGATCTGCGATCCAGAGCTTCTTGCCGTTGTAGAGGATTCGGCCTCTTTTGATGCCAACTTTGCAGGGAGCTGGAGTGTGAAACACCCCAACACAGTTAAAGCATTTTCTTTACCAGACATTGCAAATCCAGTTATAAAATCACGATTTGTTTAAAACTGCAAGAATGAACCCTGATCCAGGACTCTTTTTCACTTTCTTTAACATTTTTGTTAATTTCTTAGAGAGTAATTCATGGAACTTGATGAAAAAAGCAGCCTATGTTTGGGGGACTGATGCAGATACAATAAAAATCTGCATTTGCAATCTGCAGAGTTATGGGCTCTGACAACTGATTGATGCATAAATAAATCCAAACTCTTGCACAGTAACAAAACACAAATGACACAAATTTAGCTTTTAAGCTCTCATTTCCCCACGACTCACCTCTGCACACTGGCTTGGAGGACCAGTTTCCTGTGTTCTGGCACTGAACCTCGGCCTCACCGTCCAGAATGTAGTGCTCATTGCAGGCGTATTTAACCTTCTCCTTGTAGCCATGTTGTCTCATCACAGCAAAGGTGATGAAGCCATTGGGTATACCTGCTGGAATGGAGCAGCTCACCTCTGGGATGATCAGGAACAGGACAAAAGAATAATGTGAGGAGTTTTGCAGTGTAAGAAATTGAGGGAAACCATTTTTAAAGTCTGGGAGACTGTTAAACTGTGTTTTGCCTTAATCAAGGGACGACAGAGGGAGAGATGGTTAAAGAATATAGGGAATATTTGACATCTTCTTTGTACCTCGGCACACTGGTGGTTGAGTTGCACTTCCATCAGCCATGCAGGATCCCCTCTCATGACTTGGTGCTTTAGGTGGGTTACACTCATACGTCCAGGCTTGTCCATACATGGAGCTGGTTCCAGTAACTGGCTTATCATGGATGACTCTTCCATCTCTCGGTGGCGTGGGCAGAGGACAGTTCACAACTGTGGACAAAAAAAACACTGCATCAACTGCAAACCTTGAGTCCCACTGAACGTTCTGTCAGTGAGCAGTTTATTAGGAACACTTTGCTAAAACCAGTGCAGTCTACTTCAACAGACCTGCAATAAGTCCTCCTTCAGAAGGGTTTTTGTTTTCTGTTCAGGCTGCAAGTGTTGAATCAACAGTATGATTATTTTGGAGGAGGGAGCCTCTGTTCACTGTGTTGCTTTTAACACTGACGTGTTTATGTTGTTTATTATTGATTTGAATGGTGGCTCTTTAATTCTAGAGTTGTATTTATTAGAGTGCATATGTCCACCAAGGCCAGAAAGTTCCCTTAAATTCAATTAGCACACAATCGTAAATATAAGTTCCCTTAATGTGCCAGATTTTTTCATCAAGACCCATGAATTGTTCTCTGAGAAATCAATGAGAGCCCTATCTCCCAATGTAAACTAAAGTTAAAAAAATCCTCCCGTTGAGTTAGATCTGGGTTCTTGCCTAAACCATACAACATTCTTCCATCAAGTTTTTTAATAATCCATCCAGAAGTTTTTGTATAATCTAACAAAACATCCAACAAAAAAATGGAGAGGGGTGAAACAAACACTCATTATAACTTTCATGAAGGAACATGTACTGTAGCACTCTTGGAATAGATTCCACTGGTTTTAGTAGGGTGTTCCTTATAAACTGACAGGTGAACGTAACTGAGCAGCATATTGAATGTGGGTAAAACAACGAGCCAGTAAAAGTCAGACAATACTTTCTACATACATAATGGGAGAATTAACTTTATGTTTCTATATACTTTAACAAATATATAGAAACAGGATTACGATTACACTCTTAATTACAATTTGTGGTTTGTCGGGTTGATCCTGGCTGCAAATCAATAAAGATACTTTGAACTTTAAGCATTGCAAGTTAATAAAACAAAACTTAAGAGCAGCTTCACAGTTAAGTAAAAAATGTTTCTGCTCTTCCTTTATTTATACTTTACATACTATTTAAGGGCTGTTGAATGTTCTCTCAGCTAAACATGAATCTATGAACCTTGAATCTTTTCCATTGTGTGTATTTTCCTCCAGTACCTTTGCAGAGAGGTGGGGGATTGCTCCAGGAACCATCATGTAAACACCTGCTTTCATTGGCTCCTTGCATAACGTACCTTGTGAACAAAAGACACTACATTACACTGACAGATGTTATCATTGTATTATACAGGTTACAATGATTGGAGATCCATTCATTCAAACGTTACCCATCGTCACACGTGAAGTTCAGCACACTCTTGAATGGAGCTTCTGTTCGCCCCATTGCTAAAGGCTGCAGAGGTCTGGGGATGGGACACATCTTAGCTGTAGAAATATGAGGTAATAGAATATTGACAACACTGAAGTTAAATTATAATAAGATATAGTTTGTAGAGAACATACACCAGGACAATAGAAAGTGTAATATTAAATTGATTGTTTTCTGTGGTGAACATATTACAAAGTTAATGATTGTCTCTGAATTCTTGTTATGGTGTAAAATCCTGTGACACAAATGTGGATCACATCGTGACAGCTGAATATCATGGAGTAAAGCAAACCTTCCAACACAATAGAGATACCTCTCTGGGGGATTGTGGGAAACAAGATCAAAAGGAGCACAATACATTTTGTATGCACGTTGGAATTGCCTCATCTTTCGTTCCAGCATTGAACTGTGAACGATTAAGGAAGCATTGCTTGGTGATATGACTGTAGAGCTGTTGAGGAAGAGAGTCTTTAACTCCTAGTCTTTCCCACAGAGCAAAATTGTTGTGGCCCAGATTTGGCCCACACTGTCACACGGCCCACATACCAGTGGAATGATGCCACTTGGGCGGTCCACTTTATGTTGACCACATCTGGGCCACAAGTAAGCCTCAGCAATACCACACGTCAACCAAAGGTTCCAAAGGTGGACTGAATTTGTTTTGTGCTATTTTGGCCATATCCCCCATTTACCACATGGGCCACTTATGGTTCCCATCCAGATCGCACCTTCCCCAGCACAGCAGTGCTGCGATATTTGGGCCACATTTAATATCTTACAAAAGGGGCACTTTGGGCTCACATCCATTTAGTCTGGACTACAAAAAGGTCATAGGTGCTTTATTGCCAGAAATGGCCCACATCCATATGCTATCTGGGTTTGGAAGTGAATACAGAGAGAACTTCACTCAGGACTGAAGAAAACAGCATCTCCTTGACACGGCGATACCACAAACTCAACTCTTTTCGGTCCGTCCTCTGCCCTCGCTCTACCTGGCTTTGTTGGGGGCTTATCAGACTAACTGCTTGGAGGTCTTATGCAAATAAGTTAAATTATGATGCAGTGTGACATCACAAAGCTATCGCAACTATCGGCTGGACTACTGTGTAGGTGTTTTAATGAGCGCCGTGCAGAAGCAGAGTTGGCATTGGGAGAGAGAACTACCTCTGTCATGGACTTTAGACTTTGCAAACATTGTTTATTCACAACCAACCTATAAAAAACACTAGAAGAAAGAGAAATTCTCTAAAATCATATGTTTTAAAAAAAATTACAGCTGTGCTGCTGTTGCACATCTGTGTGAAACAAGATCTACGTTGACTCACGGGAACATGCCAGGTTTGACTTTGTCCACTCCCCTGTGGCCGTGCAGGTGATCCGTTGAGGGGTCGTCGTTGAAGGTAAGTACCCCTGTTCACATGTGAGGGCCACCTCTTCTCCAGCCTCATACACACGCTTCAGTGTCGACTCATCAACCCCGTCGGTGACAGGAGGACGGCCACACACTGGTTAAAGAAATTACTCATGCATGAGGGTCAGGATTCACAGCAGTAAGGCTTATGTTCTGCAGCTAAATTATTTTGACAGAACTCAACTACTCATAATTCAATGTGCAGATTATAACATTGAGAATTGTTGTGCAGACCATATGCATAAGGTGCAAATACAAACAGCAAGTCATACAAGAATACTTGCAGCACATTAGCAAAAACAGAAGCAAATACTTTTCATCCTCAATCCTTTTTTTTTTTTTTTTTACCTTTCTTAGTTGTTACAGTTGTGCATAAAGCTATTTGGCAAAGAAGCAACACAGCCAAAGTCAGAGCCATCTTCTTACAAGTGGTGTCTCCTCAGTTTCTCCTGCATCTGGGCAGAGGATGGGGTGCCAACACAACATAAGGGCTGCTGGGTAAAGGGTCCATTACAGCATGCTCCAATCAGATGCCAGTGTCAGCTCCATCGATCGAGTACAAAGGTTTCAACTACTGCATATTTACTTAGTGCTGATCAATAACCTTGATTTGGTACAAGAGCGAGCAGGAGACGCACAGTGTGATGTGAACTCATGAATAATGTAGCAAGATGGAGACCACACACACACACACACACACACACACACACACACACACACACACACACACACACACACACACACAGCTTAGTGAAATGTAGAAGGTTGAATACAGATGCGAGAGAGAAGATTGATCACTTTATCAGAAAAACAAATGAAAAACACTGAGCTGCAGAAGCATAATCACAAAAAAAAATCTTTGCAACGTTGAAGAACATGAAAAATAAAAATCCCTGATTTGTTCCTTGTTTATCTCTCCTGTAGGTTTTCTGTAATCTTTCTTACAAACAAACAAACAAACATATGGATAGGGTAAGAACATAACCTGCTTGGAGGAGGCAATAATGTGTCATTCATGGGTAACACACATGTTACTGACAGTTTAAAACTCTCTCTACTACTACTTTGCTTACTAACGGATGGATGTTTTCAGTGGACTTCAGTTCAGTGATGGATGATTTCAGATTTATTTAACCTGATTTAATTAGCAAATATTTGGCTTTGTTTTAATTTGCTTGTTCTTGTTATACTTGTTTTTTAACAGCTTTTTCGAAAGATCCTATACAAATCCAGTATTTACTATTATTATCGTGATTATCATGATAATATGATTATTAAAGAGCTGAAGTGACTCTCATATTCTAAACGTGTGAACTGCTGGTGTTGAACGTTAAGAGCATTTTCCCTAAGAGAGTGTAATGCACCTTTTTTCCACCCGGGGACGCAGCCACTCCAGATTCCTGCAGCGGGACCGGGGCCCTCCCACAGTGAATCCTGGGGCGTGACATCAGCCTGAGTGACAAGAAGGAAGAGGAGTGGGAAAAGTCAAGTTACACAGAGATACACAGACTAAGATCAGGAAGTGTCTCTTCAAAATAAAAAGACTAACAGAGGCTTTTGGATCACTGACATGAATAATTGTTTGATTTTATATGAAATCGAATTGATTCGGGGAATATGAACCCACATTTTGATCATGTATCCATTGCAAAGTCTGGCCTTACACGTCATTTTCACTGACAGGATACAAACCTCACACAACAAGCTCTGTGAGACCCAAGAACAACAGTTGTCCGGTTAACTCTGAGATAATGAGCTGAATGATGCCTGTTTGTCTTTTCCACCATATCCAGTGTTTAACAGTTGAAGACTGAATATGTAGAAAGGCACCATGTTTTCTATTTTCAAAAGATGATTACTGGATGAAATTTAGCCGACACAGCGAACTCAGTATTTTGTCTTTTGATCAATGAGCACTCTTTCTATCAAAACAAACCAATACAGTGTTATATAAATCGTTTTTTGTCTTTGAATCACACACTTGAATAAACTGATGAATGGATCTGAGGCTAAATAAGACCTAGGCATAAATGTATAATTATTGAAAAAACGAATCAATTGATCAATTATATTATATTTCTATAGAGCCAAATCATAATATAAATCTCAAGGTACTTTACAAAGAGGGTCAGGACCTAATTTAGTTAATCCCAAAATTGTATTACAATCATAATTCATTGTTCTGGATGAAAAAATCCTAGCACATTTACAAAGTGAATTTAAATGTGCTTTCATTAGGGGACTGTTTTTGAAGCAGTTTTTGAAAAGCATCTTCTCACTGTTTGAGGGGTTGTGAATAATAATAGTAATAATAATAACAATATGAATAATGTTTAATATTAACAACAACAATAATGTATAACAACACCACCACCACCAACAACAATAATATTTAACAATAAATGTAAATAATAATAATGTATGGGTTATTAATGTGTTATTAATGTGGTGTCAAACATTAATAGAATTGTTATTGTTATTAAACGTCATCATTATTATTACTATTATTATTATCATTATTATATGTGCTCTATAACATCTGGATGAAAAAGTCTTTTACTCTGAAGGTGTTACCGGACGTGCTCTTGAACATGTGTAACTTGTGGTACAGAGCTGTCAGTGGAGAAGTGGAGTGTACAAACAGGGAAAGCCCTCACACACACACACACACACACACACACACTCTCACATACACACACACACACACTCTCACACACACAAACACACACACACACTCAGTGAGTCCGGTGTCTCCGGTGAGGACCGCCGCTCCGCTCCCTGCTGGCTCCACACCCCGAGTCTGAGCGCGTCTCTTCGGCTTGAGAGCAGCAGCAGCAGCAGCAGCAGCAGTAACACGTCCGGACCGGGGATCGAACCAGGCTGTAGCGTTGATCCGAGCACCAGCGGGGGGACATGGCCGATGGAAGTTTCAACGAGTCGTCCACCGCGGACGTAGCGAATCGCTTCGCCCGCAAAGGAGCTCTGAGGCAGAAAAACGTCCACGAGGTGAAGAACCACAAATTCATCGCTCGGTTCTTCAAGCAGCCGACTTTCTGCAGCCACTGCACCGACTTCATCTGGTGAGTCTTCCGCCTCAACACCCCCTCCACCCCCTGACTGCTGCTGCCGCCGCTGCCTGTTGCTCTCAGGACACAACTTGAGTGGATGATGTAACTTCAGGTCGAACTTTTTCCTTCATGATCCTGCAGCCTGCTCACATCTGGCAGAGTTGACTCACCATGAAAGTATAGTTTCACGCCCAAACTGTGGAGATGTGTCCGGGCTGCGTGACACATGGGAGGAGCTGCTGTCAGTGTTGTGACAGTGATCATTAAACAGGTTGTAGGCTGAGGATTGTCTGGATTGTACATATCGATCTCAAAACCTCAAAAAGAAAAACAAATTAGACGATAGAAATATAATGCAGGTAGCAGCGTGGGGACACCATTGTCCCTTTCAGTCTTCATTAATTGATAATATTGGCTGTGTTAAAGGGATGGTTCACAGAAAAATGAAAATTCACTCACCATCTACTCAGCACTGTGCTGGAGTAGATGGGGGCGTGAGGGGTGACATGTGACATGAGTCCACAAAACACTTCAGGAGTTTCGGTGGTAAACAGCGCTGCAGCCAAATCCAATTGAAAGTGAAAAACCTCAACATAAAAAAACACAAAAGGCCTCCATGCAGCTGCTGTGGTGTCATCCAATTGTTCGAAAGCCCCGACATTTACAGCGTGTTTTCAGCCTAAATGTCCGCTGTGATCCATGCACAAACGTGGCTCTGAAGGAGAGCAGTGGACTTTTGGCTAAAAACAGTGTTAATGACGCCGTTTACAGTCGGGACAGTGGTGAGTAAATAATGAGTGAATTTTCATTTTTGGGTGAACTATCCCTTTATTGCATATGGCATGAAAGGTGTATATTTTACACTGTGTAAACAAAATTAGCCCTCTCAGTATGTTCAGGACAATAAACCCCAAAACATACAATGAGTCTTTTATGATCATTGCACTAATGCATTCCACATATTTATGAGGTCCTGGCTTCACATTTGTATATTATACTATTTAACATCATAATGACCCATTTTCCCATATCTGACATGTAACCTACATACCTACAAATACACATGTTTTTCTGGGTTTCCTGTAGTGGCACTTTTTCTGTGTAATGGAACCCATAAACCTAATGTTTATATCTGAATTGGTGTTGAAGGGAAGTGAAAAAAAAACAGAATTCAACCACACTCTGATCGAGAGCTTGTGAACAAATATGTTTTTGAGTCTAGTAGTAAAAGGAAATACCGTTACTGCAGAAATATACTGAGGTGTGAGAAATGAGAAATATTTAAATGAAAGCAATCGTTTTCATTATTGTGGTCCCGGAAAATCCCAGAATCACCTTGAATGATGTCTAAATACAATATAATGTTGCGACTAAATGCGACTAAATGATACCAGCTCCACTCTTTCTGTTGCCTTCTCACCCCGGAGCCGTGCCTGCAGAGGTTGGGCCTGGTTACGTTCTTTGGGTGACTAATAGGTTTCCTTGTCTCTGAAGCTTTTAAAGCCTCCATCTAAAGCCACGGGTTTGTTTTTTTGTACTTACTGGTGAAGGACGACTTGAGCGGTTATTGATGAGAAACTCTTTTCATAAATTCTGCAGCTTCACTGGCAGCGCAGAGCCTCAGCGGAAAAACACTTCACCTTCTTCTGCAGTGAAATGTTTCATTATATGCACATGATGCCTTTATGCCACAGTTTTTTCCATGGACGGAGAGAAAAAATGTTACGGAAAGTGTGACTAAGCCGGAGTTTCTCAGTGTTACATGTAGAATCTGTCCACTCCTCAGAGTCTTGAACACAGTCATCAGACTTCCGATGTCTTTAAACACTGTTAGATATCACCTCTCAGACTTTGTCTCCACTTTAGCTTTAGGTGATTAAAATGTTTTATTTGTGGAGTAATAATCTGTTAACTGTGAGAGGTATAAACCTACGTTGCACCCCAAGTTGCAGTCCTCTGTGGGTGCAGGTGGGAGTGTGATGTCAGATCCCTTCATTGCTGGTGGCTTATGACCTCGACAGTTTTACAGCGTGACCTCTGCCCTGCCAAACACCGCCCCTGAGCCAAGCACAAGCTCGCTACATCCTGAAACTTAAAACTGATGCCTTGTCGTTTGAATGAGCACGTCTTCGTTTGGGTTTCGATGTTAATCAACAAGTTCTGGAATTTTCATTGGTCTGTATTTGAATTGTATTTGTATTTGAATGCACAATATACACTGTATACATATGTGTGTGTATTTTGATGTGTATACACATCTAAAACCCCTCCACATAAAGTACGTGGACATAGATGAACATTAAACCCTTATGTGTTTGTGTGAAACCCTGTGTGCGATCATATGACGCGTAGTCTGTTTGACTTCATTCTGAAACTGTTGGATTTGGTTCAGGCTTATAGCTGAGCAGTAAAGTTCCTCCATGCCAAACCTCAGAAAACCATTTCCTCATGGATGTGGCTTTGTGCACAGCGGCATTGTTGCCCTGCTGGAAAAGGAAGGGCCTTTCCTAAAAGTGTGAGCATGAAGCTGGAGGAACACTAGTGTCTAGAATATCACTGTGTGTATTGTATTAACATTGTGCTCTCAGTGGAACTAAGAAAATGTGATCTTAAAGTTAAGATGTATTTATTGAAATGTTTATTTTATTGATTTGGTTGATTGAAAGCAGTTTTCTGGTTAAGTAGTTGCATGCAAATTATGCAATACACACTTTCCCTGGAATTAACAAACATAACTATGTTTCTATGACTGGATTTACTAGGAAGGCACACATGAGAGAATACATATTGAATTCTGCTTTCTTTGTTTTCACAGGGGATTTGGAAAACAAGGATTCCAGTGCCAAGGTAAAAACCAAACTGACATGATGTGACTCATTCAAATATTATGAGAGCTGTTTGCATCTCTCTCTCTCTGTGTGTGTGTGTGTGTGTGTGACAGTGTTTTATGTATAAGCTGTTTGAATGCTAGTGTTTTTTTTTGTGTTTGCACATCTTGTGGTATTTCTATTAGACTGTTGCTGTCATGCAAACCCTCTCATTTAAATTTTTCTTCTGTGGTGTTTGCTGCAAAGACACCCGCTCCATTTCTCTTTTAAAGTTAACGTAAGAGAAGGATCTTTAATGGTCTGTGAATGCACCTTAATCGTGTGGCCAGAAGGAAATGAGCCTACAATAATATTGTCTTTCATTATTTTAGATATGTTTTTATGTTTATCTCTTTGTTCTTATATAATGAGTTAACACTTTTGATATATTACACTTCAAGCAGCCCCCTTGAGCTTGTTGCTTGGTACTCGGTTCGATAAATGGAGTCAAATGTGGTGTTAACTGCTTCCGCTCAGTAAAAACGGGCCTGTTGTAAAGGCTCAGTGAGTTTTTGTTGGTCATAAGCTAAAGACTGAGGGATGACAGGTGTTTTAGAAAAGGTGAAACAGGAAGTGAAGGAGCAGACATGAGAGACGGAGCACAAATTGCACAAATAAGGGAAGATGTCACGGCTCACATCCAGCTCCCCAGTCACCAACCTCACGCTGAAGGTGGATTTCAATCAACCTGCCATTTTGAGTTTCAGCATGCATCAACTCCCAGAATTCCTCATCTGATGTGGAAACTTTGGGGCTTGCCAAAGTCAGACTCTGGCTGCGAATGCCCCAGGTAACAGAGCAGATGATGTCAAAGTCCTGTTTCACTTCGTTATAGACACTTTTGCACTGTTTTCACACATCTGTCTCTTCAGTATATACAACACCTGTCTTTTCAGCATATACAGCACAAGAGACATTGAAAGGTTAGAGTGAGTTGTAAGATTTTCTTTTGTGTACAGACTAAAGAGAAATCGCTGAATTAAAGTTTAGGTTTTGTAAAAAAAGTGAGTGTTCCTCCCTAAAAACACATTGTGTGAACCCTTGAGGTCTAACAAATGTATATTCATAGTAAATTTCGAATATAATATTACAAATACATGTATATTATATATAAGTGTATTTCCTCATAAAACATTTGCAAAGCCACGTTTTATCCTGCATTGTTTTCATCCGTGTTTGTTTGCAGTTTGTTAAATGCTCACAGCACATCTCTGCATCCTCTTGCGTACTACAACAGAATCAGTGATACATTCATTACCCTGTGCATCAGCAAAACATCAGAATTTTACTTAGTAAGACTCTGTATCTCCTGAGCAGGTTTGGTTTTAAGCTGTGGTATGTCTGCCTGCTGAGAGCTGTATGCTAGCCACATGAACTTGCAGAGCAAAAACAGTATCTACTAAGTTTATGGTGAATTCCTGCCCCTCTGCAGAGGATGCTAAACTTTATGGATGTTTTAAAGGGCCACTTTGTGTGAGAGTGTAGAGACAGAGGTTGACAGCAGGGCAAAGAGCGCTACACACAGCTCTACAAAAAGCAATGGGTAAAAACCCGAAGTTAGAGATCTTTTATGTTGTGTACTTTTTTTTCAATTATTTTGAAACTGGTTGGTCTCATATTTTGTGTTTGAGAAAAGTAACACTCCCGTTCCAATGGAAATGAAATGGAAGCTGGATTTTGTATAAAGTTTCCTCTGACATTAGTTGTCAACATAGTTTTTAAAGTTGTATGGTGGTGTAGTTTCTGTCATCAGGAGAGTCCAAACAGTAAAACATTATATCCAGTGAAAGACTTGATTTGAAATAATGAGGATTGATTTCTACTTAGTGAGTTGTTCTGTAGCACAGGAGACCGTCTCTCTCTGTTGGAAACTTAAAGATAAACACTTTCCGTGGAAGACATTTGATCTCAATGATCTCTAATCTCCTGAGAGTGTCGGAGTGAGTGAGACACACAGAGGTCTTCACTGAGTCATTACTTATCATACTAACACACTTAGATGATTCATTGTGTTTCGTGTGTGTGTCAGGACCTTTAAATGTTTGAACATACATTATCGAAGCAAGTGCATTAACCCATGTCTGCATGTGAATCCATCAACAGCCCTACACCCAATCGTCTATGTGATTTCCCACACACTGTGGTGAAACCAGGCTCAGAAGTGAGTCAGTCCAAGGTGTCAGAGTGTTGACACCTTAGCATGTTTATGCATAAGCTGACATTTTCATCACCCCCCCCCCTCCTCTGAGTTGTCATTTCCATCCTCCCTCATTGTTACTATCAGCCTTTGATACATGAGATCATAAATTGAATGATTACAAGGACGCCAGAGAAAGGAGTGCTGCATAAAACAACCTGAGCTCTGCAGTTTTCTTTTTTTGTTGTTGTGTCAAACACTGAGGCTTTCAACCACATTGAAACACCTTTATTCTTCTCCCACCATAAATCCATGCTTGGACCCCTTAAATAAATAATGTCTGCCTTATCTGGAGGAAGTTGATTGGTTACACTGCAGCTATTCGAAGAGGGAAAGGTCCCCACTTTATAATACAGTATCTGTTTAGACATAAATTATTAAACCTAAGCTTCAATAAAAATGAGGGTCAGGTCCTCCAGTGGAGAAAGAGAGAGCCGCGCAGTCAATACTTGAAAATGACAAAGTGATAAACTGGAGAGTGGCATTTCTGTAACAAGAGTGACATTTAGTTTTTCAGCTCTGCTAAATGTCCCTTTTCCAAGAATAGGTTGGGCTCAGATGGTGTAACAGCACATGTATCGTTTATAGTGCTGTGAGCTGGAAGTTGTAGATTTG